GGGGCAAAACGATGATGGTTAGAAATGGAATTCCTACCAATGTAAGATTTGCGTTATTAAGATTCCGAATAGAGGTAGAAATTAGAAAGGGGGGAAATATTACTATGCATATTTCTATATAATATTCTAAAATCAGCATGTAGAGGAAAGGAAGTTGGAAGATGAGTATATTATGTATAATATTATTATAACGATGTGAGTAGGATTAATGTAACTAAGGAAGCCTGGTTTGGGGGAAAAGAATCTTCAGATGCTGGGGGTGTCGATACCTATAAAGGTGTCAGGCGTGAAGAATCAGGGTGCTAATTAAGTTCCACGTAAGATGATTTATTGTTCAAGTCTATAGACAAAAATCTAGTTCAACTGACAGTCCGCATTAAATCGACCTTAGAGAAGAGCCAGGGGTGGGAGTGAAAAAATGCAGCAACCCGTTCTGTGCCCGGCTGCTGGGTGGGCGTGGCCATGGTGGGTGTGGCCGACTCAGCCTCCTGCACCATGGCGGGGGAAGGCTCCGGAGGCTTCTTTCGAGCCTCCGGGAGGGCAAAAGCGGCCTCCGCTGGGCTCCGGAGGCTCTCCAGAACTTCCAGAAGGCCTGTTTTTCACCCTCCCAGAGCTTCCACGCGGGCCCTGCGCTTACCTGGCCTCCCAAACGGGCCGCGTGGAGACTCCTGGGAGGGGCAGGGTGGGCAGGGCCAGCCAGTCCTTGCAACTACCATTTCAGCAAACCAGATGTAAACTTAGCATCCGGTTCGCCTGGACCGATGTCGAACCAGCTGAATCCCACCCCTGGATAAGAGTCAACGGGATTCAGGAAGGGCTGAACTCCGGACTGATTGTAGGAAAATAATGACTCCGTATTGAGTCAAGAATTCCAGCAGAATGAAGAGCTAAAGATCAAGAATGGACAGCCAAGGAGAGTCCCTTGGTAGATCCTCTCAACTGAACAACAGAATCATTGAGCTGGAAGGGACCTTGGAGGTCTTATAGTCCAACCCCCGGCTCAGGTAGGAAAAATTAGATAATTTAAGACAAATGGTGGTCGAATCTCTTCTTAAACTCTTCCAGTGTTGGAGCATTCACAACCTCTGTAGGCCAGTTGTTCCACTGATTAAGTGTCCTGACTGTCAGGAAGTTTCTCCTTATTTCTAGGTTGCTTCTCTCCTTGGTTAGTTTCCACCCGTTGCTTCTTGTCCTGCCCTCGGGTGCTTTGGAGAATAGCTTGGCTCCCTCTTCTTTGTGTCAACCCCTGAGATATTAGATGACTGTTATCATGTCTCCCCTGTCCTTCTTTTCATTAAACTAAACATACACAATTCCTGCAACTAGTTCTTCATATATTTTAGCCTCCTAATCGCCTTTGTTGCTCTTCTCTGCACTCTCAAAATGTTAATTTGCAATGAGCTTAGCTCTGTTTAGTAAGAACCCTCCAAGCTAACTTCTTTTAGTCTCTTTCTCTCTGTCTCTGTCTCTGTCTCTCTGTGTGTGTGTGTGTGATTGTGCATTTCCTCTGACAGATCCTGGCTGTAAGAATACACAGGATATCCAAAATGAGATGTTGAAAAAGTAACTTCCTAACCAGCCAGACAAGCAAATGCAACTGAATACCGTTTTCATGTATTAAAAAAAAAAAAGAAATCAAGCAATTTGCTGCATTCAATCCTACTGCATTTCTTCCTCTCTTTAAAAGAAGACATTCAAATAAGTGTACACAGGTTGTCCGGGACGTACGGCCGCGATTGGGAGCAGAATTTCTGTGGCTAAGAAAGGTGGTTGCTAAGTGAGTTATGCCCAATGTCATCACCCTCTTTTTTGCCACAACTGTTACGTAAGCGAACCATGACAGTCGGGTGAACCGTGTGGTCGTTAAATAAATCCGGCTTTCCGTTGGCTTTGCTTGTCAGAAGGTCCCAAAAAGGGATCACGTGACCCTGGGACAGAGCAACCGTCCTAAAAATGAAACGTCTGAATTTTGACCTTGAATCCGTGGGGATGCTGCGACGGCCGTAAGTGTGGGAAATGGTCATCCGTCCCGCTTCCCAGTTCCATTGGGACTCCAAACGGTCGCTTAATGAATTGCTGTAAGTCGAGGACTACCTGGACTAACTTAACAAATGCAACAATTCGCTTAACGACTGTGGCGATAAAAATTGCAAAACGAGGCAAACTCACTTAACAAATGTTTGAGTTAGCCAATGTTTGAGTTAGCAATTTTGGGGCTCACTTGTGGTTCCTAAGCCAGGTAAGGGGGAGAGAGAGAAGGGGGGAGGGAAGGTAGGAGGGGGAAGAGGAAGCAGTGGGAGAAAGGCAAGGGAAGAAGGAAGGAGAAGGAGAGGAGGAAGGAAGGAAGGAAGTAGAGGAGGGAGGGAGGGAGAAAAGAAAGGGAAAATAGGTTGGGGTTACAAAGGAGGAAGGGATGGGAAACAAAGCAACCCAAACTGTACATTATAACCCATTACATGGAATAATAAATGTATAAGAATGATAAATGTAAAGAACGACGATTATGTGAATGTAGACTTAAAATGGGATGTAAGAGAATAAAAAATTCTTTGGGAAACAAAATTGTGGTCCGTAAGCCGAGGACTCCCGGTACAAAGCTGCTTCACAGGTAAGTCCTTGACTTACAGCCATTTGTTTAGTAGCCTATGAGGTTATCCGATGAATCAAATATGGTCATGGTTGCACCAAAAAACCAACAAAAAATTAGGGCAAGAGATTTCAAGACGTGGCGGGGGGCTGAAATGAAAAAGGCATCAGAAAATCCGAGGAGCTTTGCTGCACTTCTGTTTCTGGCACCTGGACCGGCTGACGAGGGTCCGTCACACGCTCCCTTGCACCACCTGACTCTCCATCCTGGGCCAGGCCTGTCTGTGCGGCAGGAGACCCCGCCTCAACCCTTTTGTCACGCTTGGTTTCTATTCCCATGTTGCCCGCCTGGCATTTCACAGCCAACTGGGCAGGTGGCACGGAAGCCCAAACCATAAACGCCCAAACCTTGAGATTACATCCTTGAGCGTCTTGGATGGAGCATCCGTTCTTCCCCTGCGTCTCAAAGCCATAACAATGGCAATTGCACTAAAGACGTATATACGGCTTCATGGTGCTTTACAGGAGAGGAGAGGAGTTGGAAGGGACCTTGGAGGCCTTCTAGTCCAGCCCCCCTGCTCTGGCAGGAAACCCTACACCACTTCAGACAAAGCGTTGTCCAATCTCTTCTTAACAACCTGCAGTGTTGGAGGATCCACAATTTCTGGAGACAACTTTTGTTCCACTGATTAAGTGTTCTAACTGTCAGAAAGTTTCTCCTTCGTAGTTCTAAGTTGCTTCTCTCCTTAGTTAGTTTCCACTTTGCTTCTTGCGTCCTGCGCTCAGGTGCTTTGGAGGAAGGGTTGAGCCCCTCTCCTTTGGGGCAGCCCCTGTGATATTGAACGACCACTATCATGTCGCTCCCAGTCAGGGCTGGGCTGCTATGGGTTTGCCCGGGTTCAGGAGAACCTGTAGCTACCATTATGGCTGGTTTGGAGAAGCTCCAAATCCCACCCCTTGGTGGCCCCTCCCACCCTGCCCCTCCCAGGAGGCGGGAAACGGGCCTCCCGGAAGACAGGAAACAGGCCCGTATCCGGCCTCCGGAAGCCGGGGAAGGCAGCTTTTGCCCTCCCAGAGGCTGGTGGAAAGCCCCCAAGGCCCGGGGAAGGTCAAAGCCCCACCCCCACCCCCGCCATGGTGCAGGAGGCTGACTGGGCCTGAAAGTTTTGAAGCCCCCCCCTTGTTCTCAACTTGTGGTCCATGAACCCTGGTGGGAAGGGCTGCAATGTCATCATAGGGGGGGGTCCACGACAGCTTGAAGAAATGTTAGCACCTGAATCTTGAATTCAGTCTTGGTGGGGGGGGGGGGGGGGGG